TGCAGCCTCTCCCCAATCCACAGCCTCTGGTGACAGCAAGCCGGGGATGCATTTAAAAAAATGCAGCTCCACCCACTCGGCTGTGTCATTCATTAACAGAGTTCTGTGAATGGGAAAATTACAACTACCATCAGCCTTTGTGGCTGACAGCTTGCAGTTTCCAACGAACTGCTGAGCACTAAGAAGTTCATTGGTTTCTGTCATTGTGTAACTGCCTGCTCATACGAGGTACGAGCAGACAGCTTACACTGACCTGTCTGCTGATTCCGGGTGCAGTGCTTTACACTAGAAATCTTCACAGGTCCCTAATACAAAAAAATAATAAATGCACAATTTTTTATACCTTCAAAAAGATGTGCATTTCTTTTTTTATTTTTAAAAGGTGAACTTATCCTTTAAGTCGTTATTTTATTTACGTTTCTAGTTAACTGCTGACACTTTTTTGTCAACTGCCAGCATAAATATACCAAGAGATGTCAAGCAAAGTAATTCAGGGCTTACTGTACACATTGCCACTGGTAAGTCACTTTATCTAGGATGTGTTCTCACTGAAGTGTTACCTGTATTTGGTCAAATTAAATGCTGCTAAAAAGCATACCCCTATGATCACATTAAAGGGAGGGAAAAAAAAAAAGCAGTAGAGGCAACAAAACAAACTCTGCTGCCAGGAAGACACGAAAGAGTTAAATGTACAAGAATAGTGTCTTAAATTATCTCCCTGATATTCTCTAATTTCTCCCCTGGTAGGGGAAGCCTGTGAACTTCAGTATTGTAAACCTTCTGTCAGCCTTCCTCTCTAACAGAACCAAGACATACATTCAAGGCTAGAAATGTACACATTTTATTTACAGAAAGTGACATGTAGCTTTTGAGACCAAGGAGAGGGGGAGAGTTTTCAATAAGGATGTGGCTGCTGTGGGCTTCAACAAAATGGCGGCCTCCACCAAAAAGAGGCAAATTAAAGCATGCATAAATTTTGGTAGTATCATTATTAATGTGGAATGTATGTTATATTTGTTAAAGAACATTAATTGTTATCAAACTTTTATGGGTAAAGATCCGCTTTAAACTGAAAGTTCAGTTGGGTTGTATTTTAATCATCTGTGATTCACCATGAAATAGCTGACATCTATATACTGTTGCAGTTTATTTAAAATACATTTTTGTGTCTCACAGGGACCTGTATTCTTTCTAGAAGATGGAAAGTCTGCAATATCATTGAATGACGCTTTAATGTGGGCCAAAGTTAACCCATTTTCACCTTTAGGAACAGGAATGCGACTCAACCCATTCTAAATATTGCAGTGAGGTGGCAAATACTCTACAGCACAAAACAAACAACTGGGAATAGGATGACATGATGCTGAAATAGGACTTTCCATTTATTTATTTTTTTTCTCTGCAGAAAAAGCAGAAATATCAGATGCAGCTAATTTTAGTTTGTGTTTGGTAATGGTAAAGTCAAATCTGTGTATATAGTCAGAGAGAAAATATATAGTTTGACTAGCCAAAGACCAACATTTTCTGTCAATCTGTTTACATATTACTTTATGCAGTTTATTACCACATCATAAATAACACTGGTACTGACTGTATACATCAAGCAAAACTTGGTACCTTTTGTTTGAATGCACTGCAAGCTCCCTAGTGGTTCCATTAGCGCTGTACATAGGCCAAGAAAAAAAGCTGTGAAATTTATGACCATTTTTAAGTAATGTAAAGATTTAGCACACAACTTTGTACTGTAACTTCTACTGTGTGTAGTATACCACTAATTGTAAAAATATACATGAATGAAGGCAGATGTTTGATCATATACTTTCCCTTCCATTTATTGTTTATACAGATGTTCTATTTACAGAATAAAGTTAAAGTAAATGTATTTGTGGCATTGATTTCATGCAAGTACAACTGTCATAAGGGCTTTATGTAGGACACCATTGCCTCTCCTTTTGAAAATCTTAGTTGCCCCGCTGTCATGCTGACCTTTTGGTACTAATCAAACCACAACTAAACCCTGAATATCAGACTCTATGAACCCATAAAATATACCCTTGAAAGAGCGCTTTATTTGTTAGGTTCCCTGTTTCTGTGCTCGCGACTCTGCAAATAGCACCACACACTCTGATAAACCTGGTTGGGTGGGGAATATTTTAGGGATGCACCGAAATTCTGGTGGCCGAAACGTTTCGGCCGAAAACACCCCTTTTGGCTGTTGGCCGAAATGAAAAACAGCACCGATACAGGTGCCGAAAAACCCTCGCCCCCCAAAGCCATCCGCCGCCGCTCGGTAGTTCAGTCTTACCTGAGAAACCATCAATCCTGGTGGTGGGTATAGAGATGAGTGAAGGAAAGATGGCCACCACACATCTCTATGCTCTTGGAGGACCAGAGCGACGTCACTTCCGGTTCTGGACATTTTTTTTTTTTAGAGCACTAGATCAATGCTTTTTTTTTTTTAATCTAATGCTTTACATTGCAGAGGAGAGATGTGGGGTCTTATTGACCCCATATCTCTTCATAAAAAGGACCTGTCACTAATTGTTTCTATCACAAGGGATGCATGCATTTCTTGTGATAAGAATAAAAGTGATTACAATTTTATTAAAAGGAACAGTGCAAAAACAAACAAAAAAAAAAAAACATTAAATACATTTTTTAAAAAAGGTTTAAAGTGCCCCCGTCCCCCCCGTGCTTGCACGTAGTGGTGAACGCATACGTAGACCATGCCACCATATGTAAATGGTGTTCAAACCACACATGTGAGGTATCGTCATGAACGTCAGAACAGGAGCAATAATTCTAGCACTAGACCTTCTCTGCAACTTTACACTGCTAACCTGTAGAAATTTTTTAAAGCATCACCCATGGAGATTTTTAAGTACCGCAGTTTCATGCCATTCCACGAGCGTGTTGGGTATCTATTTACTCGCCGTAACATCCTCTTACATATTTTACAAAACAATTGGGGTATATATTGTTTTTTGTAATCAAAGTGTATTTTTTTCTAAAAAATATATATTCATTTTTAAAAACTGCGCATTTCGGTTTCCGTTTTCAGCCAAGTGCAATTTGAATTTTCAGTTTCGGCACCAGAATTTTCATTTCGGTGCACCACTAGAATATTTAGTTAATTTGCATATGCAGCACCCACGCTTAATAGCAAAAGAGATATGACACGACAAAAATGATACATCAAACAAACTATAGCAAGGAATACTGTATATTGCAAATTAATGAATAGTAAAAGCACATATTCTGTTAAAACAATCAGTGGGTGTAGATCGCAACATCCTAAACCCTATACTGAGGGAATCCTATCTAGGGAGTACTACACCACCAGGACAATCCAGCAGTCTGTGATATAGTCCTTCTTCTGCAGGCCAGCTCGCTGGGGCCCTAACTTTTATGCTGGCATACTAAGGTTAGTGGCCCTTTAAGAACTGATGCAGGTACTAACAGTGTGTTACTTGCAGATAATTTTGTTCTTTTAAAAGAAAATACAGGCACTGACACTATGCTGCTTGTAAATAACTCTGTCTCTTTTTGGTCAAAATGTAGTGTGGATTTGGCAAGAAGTCTCTCAACAACTTCTTGTGTTAGCCAGTGGTCTCCCTATGTATACTGGGTAAACACAGTTGGTCTGTGTCTGCAGCACCACTCCCCCTTAATCCGATAGTATATGTGTATGTTCCCTATTTTATGCATATTATTATATTATTATTATTGAGGATAATTATAAGGTCTTCCTACGGTGGTATTTGGTATCTTCCCATTTGGCGTCCTTTGTTCAGGGGGCCTCCCCCGGTTGTTTCTGCGGCTGCAGACAGGCGGGAAAGGTTCTCCACAACGTGGTGGACCTGCAGCAAAGTAAAGCGTTTTTGGATCTGCACCTATAATTTTATATATTCACTTACCCAGGTGCGCTGTATAGCAGAAAATGGCCTGGTTAGGAAGGGGGGTAAATCCTCAGGAGGTCAAGTGGTTAACAGCAAAATGGGATCCCATTGGGACTTGAGAATGCGAGGTCAACAACAAAAAGAAAAACTAAAGAGAAAACTTTTGTCCGACCATGTGTTGGAGACAGCTGCAACCTGTATGTCGTGTTGGGATCCCTCCAACTCTCTTCAGACAATGAGGGAGGGGAGCCCCTTATGGCCTTGAGCAAACTATATCCAAAAAAGGAAAAAAATAAAAGGGGAGGAAAAAAAGGATAGAAAACTGTAGAAGGAGAGAGGGAAAAAGAGAAAGGAGGGGGGGAGGATGTAGGTGGTGAAAGACAAGGAGCAGAGCGTGGGATGTAGGGTTTGCACCCTCTATGGGTTCTACACATTATCCACAGTCTGGCCTAGGAGGATTCTGAGAGATATTTCATCCAGGGGTCCCAAGTTTTCTCAAAACAGGCCACCCTATCATGGAGAATAGCGTTCAGACAATCATTGACCATTATCCAGGTCAGCTTGGCCTTTAGGAGGTCAAAGGGAATCGTGGGGGGATCTCCAAGAGCATGCAATGGATATTCTGGCAGCAGTAAATATAAATGTAATCAGGCGTTTCGCATATCAAGGTATTCCCTCCACCAGTTTTCCTAGAAGGGCCTGTTGTGGAGACTTGGTAAAATTCACCTGGGTAAGTGAATATATAAAATTATAGGTGCGGATCCAAAAACGCTTTACTTTGCTGCAGGTCCACCACGTGTGGAGAACCTTTCCCTCTTGTCTGCAGCCGCAGAAACAACCGGGGGAGGCCCCTGAACAAAGGACGCCAAATGGGAAGATACCAAATACCACCGTAGGAAGACCTTATAATTAGCCTCAATCAATGATGTATTGATATAAAATTTAGAGTTAAGCTGCACCAGTTTATTCCACTCCGCTGCCTCCAATACCTCCCCCAGGTCTCGTTCCCATCTTTCCAAAATAGTATATATTTTAGATCAGGGCTTAAAATTTCAAGTCCTGAGCTACTAGCCAGGCCTTAGAGTTACTTGCCACCAACAAACACACACAGAGACACCTGTACACACACACAGACATGTACATACATACATACATACATACACACACACACAGAAACGTACACACACACATACAGACATGTATACACACACAGGCACGTACAGACATGCATACACACAGATACATGTACATACAGTACACAGAAATACACACGCACAGACACATGTACACACAGACACATGTGCATATATACATACACACACATTTACATACACACACACGTACATACATGCAGACACATGTACAGATACACACATGTACATACACACAGACACATGTACAATTGTACAGAGCCGGGTACTGCACTCTAGGGGGAGGCAGAGAGCACAGCACACACACCTTGCTTTGCTTTTACTGCGCTCAGCTATTGAGCAGTCTGACGGCTCCCAGTGCCAATGACAGATCTGGCCTGAGCTCCGAGCCTGCTCAGCAAGACGGCCCTGGGGGACACACTCTCCCCCCACCATAGTTTCTACTCGCCATTGGCGAGCAGGCGAGTGGAAATTCCAAGCCCTTATACTTATCTAGAGTTCTACAGAAATGTTCCATTGGAGTTGATGAAGACAAGTCACTGGAGTATTGAGAAGGTGGGTTAGTTGAAGGAATCAATATAGCTTTATTGGGGAGGCGATGCTTCTGAATGCTATTAGGTATTTTAAGAAATGTTTCTCTGTACCAAATAAAAGGATAAAGATTGCTCCAAGGGGGTTTAAGGTGGCTAGTTAAATATAGTGTTTTTAACTAATAGGAGATATTGTGTTGGGAAGGGAAGACTCTGGACAAGAAATATAAAGAAGCAAGTCATTTGCAAAAGCAGGAATTTAATATTTTGTGGTTATGCCTTGGAAAGTGGGTTGAGACTCAAAGAGGCAAATAAGGGGAGCCAGTACAAGAGTAAAAAGAATGGGAGAAGGGAGGCAGCCTTATCTGGTACCTCTGGACATTAGTATTGGGGAAGAAAATTGGTTACTGATAATTATTGAACATGTTGTTCCCTCCCCTTACTATCCACTCCTTTTGTCTATTATCTCTACATTTCATTGTCCTTTATCTTATGTTTGATTTACCTTCATGGCAGCACTTGTTACTTTCATATTTGTTCATACATACAGTATACTGTATACCCTATTACCATAATTACCAACGGGATCTGCAAGATAGCCAACAGAACAATCACATACAGAAAATAATGTACTTAATCAGAACAGGTGGAGTTGTACCCAGGAGAAGCAGGATACACTTAAAAACATGCAGGGTTATTTTATTGCCTATAAAGGTCAAAGACCATGGTCAGATCAGGATATTCAGACAGAAGGGCCTAGTCCAAACACTGGAAAAATGAAGGCTGGAGTGCAGTTTAAGTCAGAAGGATGCATCAGAGCCCTGAATACTCAAAAACATGGAAAAAGGTTAGTCATGAATTGACCGAAAAGCAATCACGCACCAGACTCATGAAATGGTGTCAGATTTAACTGACCACTCTCCAGGCCTTTGTATTCTCTGAAGGAACTGCAGCTTTCTGAGGAAACTCATATCTAATTAGGGAAGGCCTTAAATTTGATCTCTTAAAAGAGATAATGGTTGACTTAAAATCACTTTTTACTTTTTTTTTTTAATAAATGCAAGAACATCCATGCCTGGGAAACTGTGCCCTGATTATAATATTTGTCACATGAACTGAAATTTCCGATTGTCTTCCCTCTATGGATATTTTTTTAATGTTACCAAAAAGACTAACAAGAAAATGTTAGAGAAGCATTGCATTTGTATACTGAGAAATAGGTGCTAGATAATAAAATAGGGTTGCGTCTTAGTCCTCAATCCACATCAAGTTTCATAAGGGCCACATTCCTGGCTGGAATCCGAGAACAAAATAGGCGTACCCTTCAACTGGCAGAACTTGCAATAGCCTGAATAACCCCTGACTGCTGTTAAATGTGACATCTCAATGTGGGATGCCAGGACTGTGTGAAGGATGCAGCAATGATTTAGATACAATTTATTACAGAATGTCATAAGAGCCCAAAAAAACTTACAATGCAGGTTGGGAAACACTGTAAATTGTGTGTTGCTTTCAATCTGCACTTGGTATTTTATAAAAATGATACATGATGTATAAGAGTAATGGTATTTTATTTAACAGAAGACAACACACTGTCTAATGATCAGACACAAATCAAACTGAGATAGTCATATACACATGTTTCCGCTTAGAATGTGCTTAACGTGGAGGATGATGCTGTTGAGGTCATACTGGAGGACACATAGCTTCTATCTCCTTGCTTCACTTTAATTTCTTTGAAGTTAACATTCGATTTGCTTCGAATGCCTATTTAAATGAAGAACACAGTCACAAGGAACAATTTTTTCACAAACATGGTTGATTTTAACAGTCACCAGAATAGTATGAGCACCTAAAGTTACCTGCATATACCTTTACACACCTTACAGAGTGTTATGGTAACCCCCAAACCCACACTCTTTGTAATGCAATCCATAATCCAGTTTTTGTTTTAGAGTGTAGCCCTCCTTCCTCTCACACATCACCATAAGTTAGTCAGACCGTCTATCAATGTAAGAGGTAGACAGTCAAGCACAGAAGGTGGCTAGCACATAAAGGTCCTTTTCTGGGCTTATTTGTAGAGGCCTCTACGATTAAGTCCAGAAAAGGGTGAAATGCATCTGAGGAGCACTCTACAGGTGGAAAACGGAAGCTGAAGCCATCTTTTACTCATTCTATTCACAGTCATGCAACAGGAAGTCAGTATCTGTGTGCAGACGGCCGCCATTTTGTTGAAGTCTACTAGAGCCTGACAAGCTAAACCTGTCTACCTTGCACCAGTCTAGCTACATGCTGTTTTGACTGATCCTTTTTTGGGAGGCATTTGAGAGGTACAATTTTCATTGTTTTGGGCTACACAGAAACAGTAAATGTTTCAAAGCATTTCTTGCAAGGTTGGCTATATTTGTCCTATGTTGCTGAAAGGGGACTTTAAATGGCAGAAGTCTGACAAACACAGTGAATGCTTTCATTACTGTAGTGAATTTCCTAAAGGGGCGTTTAGTGGCAAGCAATTTTGAATGATCAAACAAAAAGTAATTTGCTGTTTTCTATCACAGTGTTTTAACAGTTCAGATAACATATTTTAAAAAGTACTGCATTTTCTTTTATCTTTCAGCAATATACAGTATCTCACAGAAGTGAGTACACCCCTCACATTTTTGTAAATATTTTATTCTATCTTTTCATGTGACAACACTGAAGAAATGACACTTTGCTACAAGTAGTGACGTAGTGAGTTTACAGCTTGTATAACAGTGTAAATTTGCTGTCCCCTCAAAATAACTCAACACACAGCCATTAATGTCTACACCACTGGCAACAAAAGTGAGTACACCCCTAAAGTGAAAATGTCTACATTGGGCCCAATTAGCCATTTTCCCTCCCCGGTGTCATGTGATTCATTGGTGTTACAAGGTCTCAGGTGTGAATGAGGAGCAGGTGTGTTAAATTTGGTGTTATCACTCTCACTCTCTCATACTGGTCACTGGAAGTTCAACATGGCACCTCATGGCAAAGAACTCTCTGAGGATCTGAAAAAAGAATTGTTGATCTACATAAAGATGGCCTAGGTTATAAGAAGATTGCCAAGACCCTGAAACTGAACTGCAGCACAATGGGCAAAACCATACAGCGGTTTAACAGGACAGGGTCCTCTCAGAACAGGCCTCGCCACGGTTGACCAAAGAAGTTGAGTGCACGTGCTGAGCGTCATATCCAGAGGTTGTCTTTGGGAATTAGACATATGAGTGCTGCCATCATTGCTGCAGAGGTTGAAGTGGTGGGGGGGGGTCAGCCTGTCAGTGCTCAGACCACATGCCGCACACTGCATCAAATTGGTCTTCATGGCGGTCATCCCAGAAGGAAGCATCTTCTAAAGATGATGCACAAGAAAGCCCGCAAACAGTTTGCTGAAGACAAGCAGACTAAGGACATGCATTATTGGAACCATGTCCTGTGGTCTGATGACACCAAGATAAACTTATTTGGTTCAGATGGTGTCAAGCGTGTGGCGGCAACCAGGTGAGGAGTACAAAGACAAGTGTGTCTTGCCTACAGTCAAGCATGGTGGTGAGAGTGTCATGGTCTGGGGCTGCATGAGTACTGTCGGCACTGGGGAGCTACAGTTCACTGAGGGAACCATGAATGCCAACATGTACTGTGACATACTGAAGCGGAGCATGATCCCCTCCCTTTAGAGACTGAGCCACAAGGCAGTATTCCAATATGATAATGACCCCAAACACACCTCCAAGAAGGCCACTGCCTTGCTAAAGAAGCTGAGGGTAAGGGTGATGGACTGGCCAAGCATGTCTCCAGACCTAAACCCTATTGAGCATCTGTGGGGCATCCTCAAGTGGAAGCTGGAGAAGCGCAAGGTCTCTAACATCCACCAGCTCCGTCATGGAGGGGTGGAAGAGGACTCCAGTGGCAAACTGTGAAGCTCTGGTGAACTCCATGCCCAAGAGGGTTAAGGCAGTGCTGGAAAATAATGGTGGCCACACAAAATATTGACACTTTAGGCCCAATTTGGACATTTTCACTTAGGGGTGTACTCACTTTTGCTGCCAGCGGTTTAGACATTAATGGATGTGTGTTGAGTTATTTTGAGGGGTCAGTAAATTTACACTGTTATACATGGTATACACTCACTACTTTACATTGTAGCAAAGTGTCATTTCTTCAGTGTTTTCACATGAAAAGATATAATATTTACAAAAATGTGAGGGGTGTACTCACTTCTGTGAGATACTGTATTTATTATAAAGCAAAAAGCAATTTTACATACGTACTGGAGGAAGAGGACAAAGATGATGCAGATCTATTGGACAGGCTGCTTTCACTGCCAGTATGGTCAGGTGGTGGTGGGATACGGAGGGCAAGCTCACCCATTGATGGTTTCATGTTAAACCGCCCTAACAAGGAAGAAAAATACACTACAATTACAAAATTACACATTTCATAAAATATAAAGATGGAAAGGTATCAATGGCCCAACAAATTACAGACATTAGAACCCTGTACATGAGATGGTGGTTTGTACATGTGCAGCTCAGCTACATGGGAAACATATCTGTAAAAGCAGAACTCCAGGCAAAAAACTTCTTAACATGTCTTTGTTGCTGATTTCCTACCTTCACTGAATATGTCATCAATCTTCTGTTACACTCAGCAGTTGCTCTGAAATAGCCTGTTCATTTTAATTCTCTTTGGTTTCCTATTTGTAAGACCAGTGGCTGGTACGCCTCCTAGTCCCCCAGCCACTAGTCCTGGCACATCCCTTCTGTAGTTCTTTCTCCAGGAAGCAGTGATGTAGTTCAGCCCCACTTGCAGGGGTGGGAGGGCTGAGGCACTCAGACACATTCATTATGTACAAGCCTAGTGTACCCACCTACATTCACTACAATTCCCTGTGGCTGATGGGAACTGTAGTTTCCTTTTATTGCAGAGAGAGAGAGGAGTGGATATGATGTAATCCCTGCTGTTACACCTTCTCCTTGGCAGAGCAGATGCTGTCAGGGTTCTGTCCATAGCAGAGGTACTGGCATTCCTGGCAGTACCTTGCATGGCTGCAGAAATGCACGCTGGCGAAAATCTATGCGCATTGGCACACGGACATGAGCAGGATCACGGATGCGCACTGGCGCATAGTTACGCAAGCATTAGCTCAGTTTGGCGCCCGACGGCCTTTATAAGGAAGCCCATCACTCCCTCAAATTGCTGGTTGATCTCTGGCTCCTCAGTACCTTTGTCCGTGTTCCCTTGCTACTGTGATCTCCTGTTACCGATTTGGCTTGTTCTTGGATCTGTCTTCTCTGCCTGACTCCTGATCTGACCATGGCTTGGCTAATAGATATTCTCCCTCGCTCTCCTGTGTATGACCCCGGCTATCCTATTGACTATGTCTGCTCCAATCTCCACCTGGCATCTGAGCTTGGCTTTGAACCGACTACTCTGTGATCCTCTGCTACCCTGAAGGCCTGCATACCTCTCACGGGTGCCACCTGTCTGCAGACACCAACCGTTCCAGTGCATCAGCTGTGCTCCTGGGTGTACCTCTGACAAGCACTTTTACAGGCGACCCGTGCTACTTTGGGCCCGACTCCATCTGTCCCATATCCAGCGGAGTCTGGAACTTAGCTGCAAGGGAAGCCCTCTCTCCACTGGCCTCTAACACCAGGTACGTGATAGATGCGGTTATCTTTTGAATTACAGAGATGAGGTCATGAAAATACATTAGGACTTTTTTCCTAATTGGTAACGATTTTCAAAATGTTACTAACGGTTTAGTATTTTAGTATTTCGCCCATCTCAGAGTTCTTCTTTAAAGAACCATACATTCAACAACTGCAGCTTTGTCCTTCTGTGGCAGTGTCTAAATAAAATCTGGGAATTTGTAACTGGATACAGTTATTGAAGACAACAAATAATCAAGATAGTGTTTGCAAAGTTGGTTATTATTATAAATAACAGATGTGTCAGAAATGTTGCGCTGAGATTTACATGACACTCACTAGACATAGAAATGAACAAACTGAGCTGCCAGCATCAGATCCAGTCTGAATTGGGCTTATTCACAGATAGCAGATACCCACAAGTTACTGTAAAATTTACCAGACATAGCCAATTTAATCTTTACATTTATTCTTCCATTTTAGAAATATTTGGATATTGTTTTTTTTTTTTTCTATAAGCATTTTTGTTTTCTATTGATTAGGATTGTGGTAAACAATGCAGGCTCTGATCACAATTTACATAAGAGACAACCCTGATATTTAGGGTTTCTGGGGTGCTTAGCAAAGATAACCAGGGCCGTGAATAAGGGGGTACCACCAGTCCTCCTGTACGGGGTCCAGGCTAGCAGGGGGGCCCACGCAGCTGGATGAATCTGATGTGGGCAGGGAGGGTGATCAGCATGGTGGGTGGCAATTACTGTATCTGATCCCCTGATTGACTCTCTGTGCAGCGTCTGGAAGCTGGCTTCCTCTCCTCTCCTCTCCCTCCCGCTGGAGATTGGTTCCAGTAATTATCACCCCCCCTCCGTGTACCCATCACCCTCCCTGTGCGCCATACGTTTTCCCATGTTGCCCAGGCTCCCCTGTGTGCCCCCACCCCCCACAGTGCTGCCGGCTTCCCTCCTCTATTTTCCACTGGCAGCTGCAGGCACGCAATAGGATGCCTCAGGATGGAGAGTGTGTGAAGAATCTAGTAAATATTTACCAACCCCTTCCTTTCCTGAATGAACACAGTGTGTGATCAGTATAGGTCACTCACTAGTCACATTTACCATAACCTTCCTTACCTGAATGAACACAGTGTGTGATCGGTATAGGTCACTCGCTGTGTTCATTTATAACTGAAGCATAATAAACTGTGGGGTTTTTTTTCATGGGGGGCCTGTCAGGTTGGCTGTACGGTGCCCCGTGGTTTCTAACAGCAGCCCTGAAGATAACTATGTGTGGCTGCTATATATCTTGAAAGTCATTAAAGTTTTTACTCTTTAAACTATTATCTTTATTCTCAAAAAACTTCTGTATGCCCAAGGGACCCTTTACATTCTATCATTGTGGGCTCAACCTCACAAATTTCAGAGAGAAGTCTCACCATATGAACTAAGCTGCACTAACCAATGAGCTTTCAGTGGCTAATAATGTCGTTCACAATTCATAGTAAAAAAATCAGTTGGAAAATGTAAGTACCTAGGTGCAGAGAAAGGGTTTTGGGTTAAAAGAGGTAACTGAATGCGTGATGTAGTGCTTGCTCTTAGACAGAACTTTTAGTTTATAACTTCAAGAAGTTTGACTGGTTCCATTAAAACAATAAATTCAGAGAGATCTTATATTGTTCCTGCAAATTAGAAAACCCATGTATGTTTGAATTTTTTTTTTATCCTTTCCTGACTGGAGAATGCTGTACACATGTAGCTCATTACAAAGTGCACTAAGGGCTCGTGAACATGGACAATTATGGCCTACACCACCCAGATCAGTGTATTTCTGTGGCAGTTACGACCGCGTGTTCCTGATTAGCCGTGGACAGGAAGCGTGCACAAATCAATGATAGGTTGACACTGTCCACAGCTGTTTGCATGAAAGAACACGTGGAGTTAGGGAAGGATGTGTGCCTCTGGATATAAATAGTTCATGTTCAGGGTACATATCCATCCCTAACCCCAGGTAATCTCTCCTTGTACAATTACACGCAAACAGCTGCGGCCAACCACGGACAGTATCTGCCTGTAAATATTTTTTGTACAGGCTTCCTGCCCGTGGCTGATTAGAAACACCTGGCCATACTCACCACAGCAATATGCTGATGTGGGCAGTGTATGGCCCTAATCACCTGCATGCATGAGCACTAACAGAAGCAGATACAGGAAACATTATGTAGAAATACATATGCAGTCTACTCACTTGGGTCATCAATTCTCTCTTGCTGTCTCTGCAACAAATGTAAATCAATGACAGCCTGAACTTTCTGTTGGTTGATGATAATGTCTGGCTCAGCCAGGGTCTCACTCAGGGTTATATTGCTCTTTACTGCCTTTGCTGCTGTAGATCTGGCCACCATAGGCAGCTTGTCTTGGTAATGTCTATCAGTAAAGTCCACTTCATTATCCTGGAGAGTTTTGATCCTACATTATAAAAAAAAAAAAAAAAAAAAACACACAATAAACATCTATGCTTATTGCTTAAAGCTGATCTACAGTTGAGTAAACAGTTAAAAGTAAATAAATGAAATGGTCTTACTTACTCAAAATATTTGTATCTGCTCAGACACTTTTGTGATTTACTCACCTAACCAGAATGCTTATTATAATTACTTTCAAGTGTAAAATAGATAACAGATGATATCAATAATTCCTCTTCTATAGATTGTATCACACACACACACTGCTCAAAAAAATAAAGGAACTTTTTAATCAGAGTATAGCATCAAGTCAATTAAACTCCTGAGATATTGATCCTGTCAGTTAAGTAGCAGAGGGGGTTGTTAATCAGCTTCAGCTGCTTTGGTGTTAATGAAGTTAACAACAGGTGCACTAGATGGGCAACAATGAGACGACCCCCAAAACAGGAATGGTCTTAGAGGTGGAGATCACTGACATTTTTTTTCCCTACTCATCTTTTCTGATGGTTTTCCCTAGTTTTGCATTTGGATAGGGTCAGTGTCACTACTGGTAGCATGAGGCAATACCTGGACCCTACAGTGTTTGCACAGGCAGTCCAACTCCTCCAGGATGGCACATCAAGATGTGCCATTGCCAGAAGGTTTACTGTGTCTCCCAGCACAGTCTCAAAAGCATGTAAGAGATTCCAGGAGACAGGCAGGTACACTAGGAGAGCTGGTCAGGGCCTTAGAAGGTCCTTAATCCATCAGCAGGACCGGCATCTGCTTCTTTGTGCAAGGAGGAACAGGAGGAGCACTGCCAGAGCCCTATAGAAAATTATCTCCAGCAGGCCACTGGTGTGAATGTCTCTGAACAACAATCAGAAACAGACTTCATGAGGGTGGCCTGAGGGCCCAACATCCTCTAGTGGGCCCTGTGCTCAACACCCAGCACCATAGAGCTCGATTGGCATTTGCCATTGAACACCAGAATTGGCAAGTCTGCTACTGGTGCCCTGTGCTTTTCACAGATGAGAGCAGGTTCACCCTGAGCACATGCGACAGACAAAAGGGTATGGAGAAGCCGTGGAGAATGTTATGCTGCCTCTAACATCATTCAGCATGACCGTTTTGGTGGTGGGTTAGTGATGGTCTGGGAAGGCATATCCATGGAGGGACGCACAGACCTCTACAGGCTAGACAATGGCACCCTGACTGCCATTCGGTATCGGGATGAAATCCTTGCATCCATTGTCAGACCCTATGCTGATGCAGTGGATCCTGAGTTCCTGCTGGTGCACAACAATGCCTGGCCTCATGTGGCGAGAGTATGCAGGCAGTTCCTGGAGGATGACCTAAATCCAGTAGAACACCTCTGGGATATCATGTTTCAGTCCATCCAACGCTGCCAGGTTGCACCTCAGACTGTCTAGGAGCTCAGTGATGCCCTGGTCCAGATCTTGGAGGAAATATTCCAGGACACCATCCATCGTCTCATTAGGAGCACGCCCCGACATTGTCAGGCATCCATAAAAGCACATGGGGACCATACAAACTACTGAGTACCATTCTGAGTTGCTGCAATGAAATTTCAGCAAAATGGACTAGCCTGCTGCATAATTTTTTCACTTTGATTTTCGGGTGTTTTTTTTAATTCAGTCCTCTGTAGCTTGATCATTTTCATTTCCATCAAACAATGGGGCATCCTTACGTTCCTAACACATTACCCAGTCCATATCAGAATAGATATCCAGCATGAGATTTTTCCCCACTGAGATCTGATGTGTTTTCAAAGTGTTCCTTTAATTTTTTTTGAGGTGTGTGTGTGTGTGTGTGTGCACACAAACACACACATACATACACACAGTGGGGAAAATAATTATTTGATCCCCTGGAGATTTTGTACATTTGCCCACTTACACATAAATGAAGGGTCTATAATTTTTTATCATAGGCGTATTTTAAATTTATAGAGACAGAATATCAACCTAAAATCCAAAAAAATACATGATGCAAATGTTATCAATTGAGTTGCAGTTCAGTGAGTAAAATAAGTATTTGATCAGCAAGCAAAACATGACTTTGTACTTGGTGGAGAAACCCTTGTTGGCAAGCACAGAGGTAAGATGTTTCTTGTAGTTGGTTACCAGGTTTGCACACATCTCAGGAGGGATTTTGGTCCACTCTTCTTTACAAATCTTCTCCAAATCTTTAAGGTTTCTTGGCTGTCACTTGGCAACTCAAGTTTCAGCTCCCTCCATACATTTTCTATAGGATTAAGGTCTGGAGACTGGCTAGGCCACTCCATGACCTTAATGTGCTTCTTCTTGAGCCGCTCCTTGTTGCCTTGGTTGTATGTTTTGGGTCATTGTCATCCTGGAAGACCCATCCACAACCCATCTTCAGTTTTATGGCTGAGGTCCTCATCCAAGATTCTACAATACATGGCCCCGTCCATTGCCCCACAATTCGGCAAGATCAGATTATACCTTTAGCACAGAAACAGCCCCATAGCATAATGTTTCCACCTCCGTACTTGACTGTAGGGATGGTGTTTAGGGTCATAGCCAGCATTTTTCCTCCTCCAAATATGGCGAGTCAAGTTAATGCTAAAGAGCTCAATTTCGGTCTCATCTGACAACAGTACTTTCTTTCAATCATTTTCTGAATCATTTAGATATTATTGACAAATTTCAGATGGGCCTGTACATGTGCTTCTTGAGGAGGGGGACCTTGCGGGCGCTGCAGGATTTCAATCTATTACCAATGGTTTGTTTGGTGACTTTGGTCCCAACTGCCATGAGGTCATTCACAAGCTCCTTCTGTGTAGTTCTGGGCTGATCCCTCACTTTTCTCATGATCATCCTTACCTCATGAGGCAAAATCTTGCATGGAGCTCCAGACCAAGGGCGATTGGTTACTTTGGATTTCTTCCATTTGCGAATAATTGCTCGAACAGCTGTCTCCTTCTCATAAACTTTCTTGCTGATGGTCTTGTAACCCATTCCAGCCTAGTGCAGGTCTACAATTATTATTATTATTATTATTATTATATCGAGTTTATATAGCGCCAAAGGGTTTGCTCAGCGCTGTACAATAGAGGGGGGGACAATACATGAAACAGTACAGTAACAACAAACAGCACACGAGGGGGTTAGAGGGCCCTACTCTTTCGAGCTTACAATCTAGGAGGGAGGGGGTAGTGGTACAGGAGGAAATGGGGGGGGATGGAGTGGTAGGAGGAGGGAAGGGCAGCGGCTGTTAGGTGAGGGTGGGGTAGGCTTCCCTAAAGAGGTGGGTTTTCAGGGAGCGCCTGAAGGTGAGGAGAGAAGGTGACAGTCTGATGGATTGGGGTAGTGAGTTCCAGAGGATGGGGGAGGACCTGGAGAAGTCTTGCAGTCGTGCGTGGGAGGTGGAGACCAGGGAGCAAGATAGAAGGAGGTCCTGTGAAGAGCGAAGGGTACGGGTAGGGTGGTACCTGGGAATCAGGTCGGTGAGGTAGTTAGGGGCAGTGTTGTGAATGGCCTTATAGGTCAGAGTGAGCAGTTTGAATTTAATGCGTTGGGCAATGGGGAGCCAGTGGAGGGAGAGGCAGAGAGGGGGGTGGCAGAGGTGGAGCGGCTGGTGAGGTGGATGAGTCTAGCCGCTGAGTTCAGGATGGTCTGAAGCGGGCAGAGTTTGCACTGGGGTAGGCCGGTGAGGAGGGAGTTGCAGTAGTCAATCATGTCCCTAACATCCTTTGACAGCTCTTTGGTCTTGCCCATGGTAGTGAGGTTTGAATGGGTCTCTTTGCCCACTCAGCCTCTTGTTACAGCTCTACACTGCATGGGCCCACCCCTGCCCTCTAGATAGGGTTCTCCCAGCACCCCTTGTTCTCTCGCTCTTCCAGAGACTTATGGACTCCCTCCAGGCCCCTGGACTTGCTAGCCACCTCAGCTTTCTCAGTCTCCACAGACTTGCACAGCTGTGCTGACTCTGCCAATCCTGTGGCAAGGAATCCCCCAACATGGGGTGTTTGAATGAGGGAGTTGCAGTAGACAATCATGTCCCTAACATCCTTTGACAGCTCTTTGGTCTTGCCCATGGTGGTGAGGTTTGAATGGAAGAAAGATCATAAAAATACACATAACAAAATCCAAATAAAAAGGTAAAATAGATGAAAAAGTCCCAGAAAATAGTGCACGTGTCACAAAGCTTCACTATTACTATTAATATAAAAAGATCTCATAGTGAACACTGAGTATTTTTATTTATAGCAATCAGAAGGAAATCAAAAAGCTACCTTTGAGAAAGTTTGGTGGGACGCACCGTGTCAGGTAGACAGAGTCTATGGTGTCATACTCTGTAACTGTTATGTGGTAATAATAGCAAACTAGTGACATACTGGAAAGCTGCTGTTGTGTGTGTATATATTAGTGAAATACATCATTTTTACCTTCTCACATACAGTACATAGTTAGTCTGGTTGAAAAAACAAGTCCTTTTTGTTCAACCAATAAAAAAAGGGGAAAAAAATGATATCTTATATACATAATCCTATACCCACAGTTGATCTAAAGAGAGGAAAAAAAGAGCCAGCAAAGTATGAACCAATTTGCTCCAGCATAGTAAAAAAAATCCTTCTGATCCCCCAAGAGGCTATACCTTGGATCAACTTTACCTATAAATGTTTGTATCCACAATAATGGTGACAACATGAAAAGTCATGGTAGACACAGTTCATGAAATAATATAATAACAATTGTGATATAGAGTAATTAACTCTAAAGTGTGGTTTATGTGTTTTGTTATGAGTTGTGCCAGTCTGAACTGTATTTAAGGGCTTTCTGGCCCACATTTATTGCAAAATGAAAAGATAGGTTCACATAAGGTTGCCCATGCAGGGGTTTCAGAAAGCAGACCTCCAACTGAAAAATGCTGATCTACGCTTCAACAGCACCGCTACTCTTGTCAGGTTACTTCAGACCCAGCTTACTGGGACTCTTTGCCCACTCAGCCTCTTGTTACAGCTCCACACTGCATGGGCCCACCCCTGCCCTCTAGATAGGGTTCTCCCAGCACCCCTTGTTCTCTCGCTCTTCCAGAGACTTATGGACTCCCTCCAGGCCCCTGGACTTGCTAGCCATCTCAGCTTTCTCAGTCTCCACAGACTTGCATAGCTGTGCTGACTCTGCCAATCCTGTGGCAAGGAATCCCCCAACATGGGGTGCAGTCTCCAGCAGGAACACATGTGCAGCCTGACTAGTACACACATCTATCTTCTAACAAGGGCTTTGTTTGCAAATAGGAGCCCTAAGCTATGCTCAGGCTTGGCTTATAACGATCCTGCACACCTGTGTACTCACACAACCTGCCGGCCTCTAGCAAAACCCAGACACAGGATTGAAGGCCCCGTCCCTCCCAACAGCCTTCAAGCTCCAAGCCCCAATTCAAAATGGCAAAACCACACGAGAAAACTGAAAACATTCTCCACTCACAACAAACACTTCAGAGCTTCTCAAACCCTAACTTTGAGAGTCATATGTCATTTATATATCCATTTTCTAAACTCACACAATGTAAATAACACAATAAAAAAGCGGAATATTTTACCTCCTGTTTGTCAGCATAACATAAATTCTTGTAACAATATTTCTGCTGCTCCAGGTTTGCAATGAATTGTTCCGTCAATTAATTCTTTGGAAAGATTCAATTTCCTTTTTAAGAAGAACTGTGAAACATCATAACACATTAAAAATGAAATCTACATATAATCACATGAAACAATATAATGTATTCGTTAATAGATATAAGAAAACATATCACCAGTCAGTACAAATAATATAATGAACAATACATAGATTAATAAAGCCTTTTTTAACATTTTTTTTTTCAGAAGAACCCACAATAATAATTATCAGGGCTTGGGAAACCCTTACCAAAACCAATTCATTGAGGATCAATGGGGAAACCTACAATGGTGCTAAGAATGCCACTCTTACAGACAGCTAAAAAGATATGTGCTGTTATAGTTGTATGAAAATATAATACAATATATAGTCATGGTTACTGTTCATATTACTGTAAATCGAGAATTTATATAGTTAATTTCCTTAAGCCATTGTTTATTAGCCTCAGTATAGATGGTTAGTATACTGCCATTTTGTGGTCATTTTGGTTATTGAACCCCCTTTTTCTGTGTTCCCCTCTCATTTTATGATGTATTTCCTCCTTCTCTTTGTCTTTATGGGATAAAAATGGCTGCTTGTCTCATAGCCACATGATAATCTGCTTGCTTGGGGGAATGCATTACCATGTTTTAACCTGCAAATACCGTCTTTTCAGTCTTCTGCTACATCCTGTTATCTGTTGTAAGCCTGTTGGATTCAATAAAGACCTTCTTGGATGAGAAAAGGTATCTAGTGAGTTTAGCTATCTGATGAAGACTGTCTGTGGTGATTTTATCTGCTTATAAGGCCAGTCATAGAGGTCTCAGCAAGGGAGTCACTAATACAACAGTTGGAGTCAGAATAGATAACTGTGCCATGCTGCTAGTTTTGCTAAGTAGCATTGGCCCCAGAGCTGTGTAAGCACCTTCATATGGGAGGTCAGTCAGTTCCAGATCAATGAACCCCCAGCAACCTCTAGAAGACCCTGGCTGAGAATGGCTGCATTAGCAGATATGAAATAAAAAAACATACAGGTGAAACTCGAAAAATTAGAATATCATGCAAAAGTTCATTTATTTCAGTAAGGCTACGTTCACACTAGCCTTGTGTGCAGGCGGCAGAGAGGCGTTTGGGAAGCGTTTTTTACCGCTTCCCAAACGCCTCTGCCAACTCTGCACATTACAGCACATGGTGCTGTTCTAACAGGAGCGTTTGCGTCGCGTCGCGGCAAAACGGACGCCTCTGGTCGAGTCAGGAGGCTTTGAAGCCTCCTATTCTCGTCTATGGTGCCGCTCCGCAAACGCCCGGCCGGCGTTTGCGGTGCGGTTGCGACGCGGTTGCGGGGCGTTTGCGGAGCGGTAACACCACTCAAATGCATTATAGGCGTTTGTGGGGCGTTATTAACGCTCGGCAAACGCCTAGCAACCGCCGCTAAAAAACCGCGCATGCGGCGTTTGCGGAGCGTTTGCCGAGCGTTAAAAACGCTCCGCAAACACCCGGACCAACGCTTGCCAAACGCTATAGGGGCGTTTGGCAAGCGTTGGCAAAACAGCCTAGTGTGAACGAGCCCTTATACAACTTAAACGGAGAAACTAATATATGAGATAGACTCATTACATGCAAAGCAAGATAGTTCAAGCCGTGATTTGTCATAATTGTGATGATTATGGCTTACAGCTCATGAAAACCCCAAATCCACAATCTCAGAAAATTAGAATATTACATGCAATCAATAAAACAAGTATTGTACATAGAACAATATCGGACCTCTGAAAAGTATAAGCATGCATATGTACTCAGTACTTGGTTTGGGCCCCTTTTCCAGCAATTACTGCCTCAGTGCGGCCTGGCATGGAAGCTATCAGCCTGTGGCACTGGTGAGGAGGTGTTATGGAAGACCAGGATGCTTCAATAGCGGCCTGCAGCTCTTCTGCATTGTTCGGTCTCATGTCTCTCATCATTCTCTTGGCAATGCCGCATAGATTCTCTATGGGGTTCAGGTCAGGCGAATTTGCTGGCCAATCAAGCACAGTAATCCCGCGGTCATTGAACCAGGTTTTGGTGCTTTTGGCAGTGTGGGCCGGTGCCAAGTCCTGCTGGAAAATGAAGTCAGCATCCCCATAAAGCTCGTCTGCGGAAGGAAGCATGAAGTGCTCCAAAATCTCCTGGTAGACGGCTACGTTGACCCTGGACTTAATGAAGCACAGTGGACCAACACCAGCAACTATCTTGCTTTGCATGTAATGAGTCTATCTCATATATTAGTTTCACCTTTTAAGTTGCATTACTGAAATAAATGAACTTTTGCACGATATTCTAATTTTTCGAGTTTCACCTGTACATCCAGTCGGTTGAAATAATTATACCGAACAACATACTTACTGGTAGATGTAATATAATCAAGCATACATCATTTCTGTTTTGTATGATGTAGCAATTTTTAAAATACAACTATATCCAAAGTGAAAAAAAAAAAGGTTTTGCCTAGAGTAAGAGAGGGTTTTAATCTCTTTAAGGTTTATTTTTGCCTACTTTGTCCCAATGGGGAGATTTACCATCACTGCCTGTCCCATAGCCAGACAGCAATAAAATCCTGCCAGGTGTTCTAATCCCTATTTACTATGTCCAAAACTAAAAACAACATTTTGCCTTTAGTTATACTTTAATTAGCTTATTAGGCAGAGTGCTTACCTTCTCCAGCTGTGACCAGTTGCCTAATTTGGCAGCTAGAGATGTCCCATTGTCAAATGAATGCAACTGTATGTCTTCTGGATAATACCAATAGAAGATCTCAGCTGTGATGAAACCATTTGAAAAGTCTCTGTAACATACAAAATGGCAAATGCAAAAGCTTCATTGTAGCAATGGACGTAGCATTGAAACACTAATATTATAACTGCAGAGAAAGAAACTGCAAAACATAATCATGTTGTCAAAATTTACACTTTGGGTCCCTAATTTATTCATATTTTCAGTAGTGAACTGTTCATTTTTACTCTTTAATGACCAGAGATTATTTAGTGATATTAAACCCTCAGTTTTTTCAGCACTTTCAGCAGCTGATTTAATTGCTTACTGAGTAGGAAACTTCTTTACGCCTGGTTCACACTAGTGCAGCCGTGTAGTCCATGTTTCTCAGGCATGGCAGGTTATTCATTTAAATAGGCTGCTGTGCCGCATGTCCTGCACACAAAAAAGGTGCATGCATTTTTTAAAAACATGGCCGCAGGGAAACAATTTCCTTGCGGTTCCTGAACCCGCGATCGTGCTGTGGGCTGAGATGCCTGGAGGTTCCATTCAGAATGAATGAATGGCAGCCCCACGTGTCTCACCAGAGCAGAGCGATTCCTGCACCCGCAACCAGCTCTCAGCCTGCAAGCTAGTGTGAACCCAGCAGTATATTTTATTACTGTTCCAGTTTAAGCCAGTGCCATAACCACTGCACCAGGTTTCCAGTATCAGAGTGGCTCTTTTCGACCCTTGCACACATGGACTAGTGTTGTGTCTCCCTACAATGTGTGCATCTATAGAAAAACATAGCCCTGTAGCCTACTATGGCAAAACACTCCCCTGCTCCTTCCTCCTCTTCCCCCTCCCTTCTCCTAACTAACACACTGGCTGGAGGCTGCACTGTCCACTATTAGCTATTTACTGTGAAGACCAGACATTCAGGGAAGCAGCACTGAGAGAGAAGCCAGCAGCATTGAAAGTAGTAAACTGCAAGTACTGTGGTAATAATCCTAACAAATAGCACACTGGGAAATGTAAAAAGTATATGAGAACTCTCACCTTGAAAAGCAACCCAGTTTAAAACAGATATGGAAGGCAAAACATCTAACATAGTGGTGCTTTTACAGGCTAAAATACAAAAGCCAATGCCTATAAAAACATTTTTTTAAGCTCACTGTACAACATGCACATATCAGCAATATGAAATGTTGGGATAATATGTTCTTTAAAGAGAAACTTCACTCTTCCAGACAACATTGACTATTTTTAATCCTTATGCTGCTAGCATTAGTAAATAGACAGGAAAGTATATCATATTTACTTGCTTCAATTATTTTTACATTTCTTCAGTTATTATTATTAAATTATGTCATACATCCCAGGAGTCTTTAGGAGTAGAGGAAGTGGTTTTCTCGTCTGAGCACACCTTCCTGCCTGAATGCCTGTGCTAAAGGCAGATGGATTCCTGGAAGTACCGTATTTTTCGCTCCATAAGACGCACTTTTTTCCCCCAAAAAAAGGGGGGAAAATGTCAGTGCGTCTTATGGAGCGAATGTAAAGCGGCCGGTCCGGTATTTCTGCCGCCACCAGATGTCAGAATACCGGGCCGGCCGCTCAGCTGTTCTCTCCTGCAGGACCTTACCTGTTCCTCGCTCCAGCGCTGCAGTCTTCCCGCGGCGGCTTCTGTGACAGCCAGGTGCCCACTGCGCATGCGCGAGAAGCGGCGCGCTTTGTGAATGGTCCGGTCTCTTCTGGGACACGACAGGTCTCAGAAGGCTCTGGGCCATTCACAAAGCGCAACGCTTCTCGCACATGCGCAGTGGGCACCCGGCTGTCACCGAAGCCGCCGCGGGAAGAAGAAGGAAGGACAACTCCGCAGAAGTGGGAGCGGGTACCTGTCAAATTCAGGTACCCTCTCCCCCTCCCTCCCCAAAGGGCCGCAGTCTCTGTCATCTCCTTGTCCTCTCTGGTCATCCCCTGTCTGCCGTCTCTGGTCATCCCCTGCACTGTCCGCAGTCTCTGGTCATCCCCTGCACTGTGTCCGCAGTCTCTGGTCATCCCCTGCACTGTGTCCGCAGTCTCTGGTCATCCCCTGCACTGTGTCCGCAGTCTCTGGTCATCCCCTGCACTGTGTCCGCAGTCTCTGGTCATCCCCTGCACTGTGTCCGCAGTCTCTGGTCATCCCCTGCACTGTGTCCGCAGTCTCTGGTCATCCCCTGCACTGTGTCCGCAGTCTCTGGTCATCCCCTGCACTGTGTCCGCAGTCTCTGGTCATCCCCTGCACTGTGTCCGCAGTCTCTGGTCATCCCCTGCACTGTGTCCGCAGTCTCTGGTCATCCCCTGCACTGTGTCCGCAGTCTCTGGTCATCCCCTGTACTGTCCGCAGTCTCTGGTCATCCCCTGTACTGTGTCCGCAGTCTCTGGTCATCCCCTGTACTGTGTCCGCAGTCTCTGGTCATCCCCTGTACTGTGTCCGCAGTCTCTGGTCATCCCCTGTACTGTGTCCGCAGTCTCTGGTCATCCCCTGTACTGTGTCCCAGTCTCTGGTCATCCCCTGTACTGTGTCCGCAGTCTCTGGTCATCCCCTGTACTGTGTCCGCAGTCTCTGGTCATCCCCTGTACTGTGTCCGCAGTCTCTGGTCATCCCCTGTACTGTGTCCGCAGTCTCTGGTCATCCCCTGTACTGTGTCCGCAGTCTCTGGTCATCCCCTGTACTGTGTCCGCAGTCTCTGGTCATCCCCTGTACTGTGTCCGCAGTCTCTGGTCATCCACCCCCTGCACTGTGTCCGCAGTCTCTGGTCATCCCCTGCACTGTGTCCGCAGTCTCTGGTCATCCCCTGTACTGTGTCCGCAGTCTCTGGTCATCCCCTGTACTGTGTCCGCAGTCTCTGGTCATTTCCCCTGTACTGTGTCCGCAGTCTCTGGTCATTTCCTGTACTGTGTCCGCAGTCTCTGGTCATCCCCTGTACTGTGTCCGCAGTCTCTGGTCATTCCCTGTACTGTGTCCGCAGTCTCTGGTCATTCCCTGTACTGTGTCCGCAGTCTCTGGTCATTCCCTGTACTGTGTCCGCAGTCTCTGGTCATCCCCTGTACTGTGTCCGCAGTCTCTGGTCATTCCCTGTACTGTGTCCGCAGTCTCTGGTCATCCCCTGTACTGATCAGAAAAATAAAACATGGAGACATGCATGGATGGGGGAGTTTGCTTTGAACATTAAGAACAAATTAAATCATGTTTTTGGTTTGTGGTGTCCAGCCGCAATGTCGCCCCACTTTAATTTTGTTGTGCTCACTGTGTTAAGGTAAAAAAAAATAAAAAACAAAAAAAACACTGAGGGCTTAACCACTTTCCGTCCATCCACCCACCCACAATGTATTGCGGACAGGCAGCAGCTACAGAACCAACACAGGAAAGTGGGGGAGCTGCACACACGAGCGGGCACGCAATCCCCCCCCCCTCTGCCCTCACGCACTGCTGTGTCCATTGGACACAGCTGAATGAAAATCCCAGTGAGCGGGACCTGGTGGTCATGTGAGCACTATGGGGGTTTGTATGATGGGCAGTCAGAAAGTAAAAGCTGCGTAAATTCCAATATATACAACATAGTTTGTAGAAGCTAGAACTTTCACACAAACAAATTCATATACACTTATTGGGATTTTTGTTCTACCAAAAACATGTAGCAGAATACATTTTGGCCTAAATTTATGACTAAGTTTGAGTTTACTGGATATTTTTTTTTTATAAACAAATGTAAAAAATATCGGGGTTTTTTTTCAAAATGTTTGGTCTTTTTTTTTTCGTTTATATCACGAAAAAAACAAAACAAACAAAACAAAACACAGTGGTGATCAAATACCACCAAAAGAAAGCTCTATTTGTGTGAAAAAAGGACATACATTTAGTTTGGGTACAGTGTTGCATGACCGCGTAATTACCATTTGAACTAGCACAGTGCCGAATAGCAAAAAATGGCCTGGTCATTAGGGGGGGTAAATCTTGCAGAGGGCAAATGGTTAATATTACTTTAACTCTAGATGCCGTGACTTCACTCATATGCTGAGTTGAATGATGTAATTTAATCCACTTTTTGCAAGCTCAGGGCATTAAGGCTGTGCACCCCCCCCCCCCCCCCCACCTTGGACTCTGGAAAAATATGGAGGAGAGTGGTACCCGTTGTGTGGGCATCAATCTGCAGCCTTTGGGATCTAAGCCCAGAGTTAGGATTTATCAACAACAATGTAGAGTACGGGTTTGCCCAAACAATCCATATGCATTCAGGTAGACATGAATTAGCAAGTACACATACGGGAGAATCCTAACTCAGATATAGCCAGAGTGGTGACCTTGTGGACAGATTTGTTTGTCTCTGCTCCAAATATATTCAATATAAAAATGAGGAAAGGGTCTGCTCTACATAGGGTACACTGCACTATGGTGACATATATGATGTCATATGATGCTTCATACACATCATTAGTACAGTGATGCATAAACCATTTTATTTATTTTCTTACTGACGTACAAGACATATTACATCAAATGCTTTTCTACTCTCCTTTTGTCCCTAAGGCTCTGTTCACATCACTGCACTGCGGTAACACACTGGTGCCATCAATTCCGAAAGGAACCCTACAGCACCTTGCTAACGGATGTGCATTGTAGAGCACCACAATGCAGGGTAACTCAATAATATGTGATGTAATGCACTGTATTATATAATAGTATAAACCTCCTGCACTATGAAGTGGAAAAAAAAATCAAAATAGCTGCTAACACCCATATATATATATATATATATTACAGTTGTGTTCAAATTAATAGCAGTCAGACATCACTAACCTGATCAATCACTGTTTTTGGTAGAAATGATATTTCTACATGGCAAATAATTTACTAGCAGGTGTAGTAGAGTAATAGAAATCCAACAGACCCAACAGTCATGACATGCATGCTGCTGATTCTGTGTAATTGAATCACTAATTGAAAGGGGCATGTTCAAAATAATAGCAGTATGGAGTTCTATTAGTGAGGTCATTTATTCTTTGAAAAACAGGTGGCAATTATTGCCCTTATTTAAGGAAGGAAGGCAG